AAACGTAGTCTACGGCCACTGAGAGATGGTTTACGAGACCTCTCCCTCCCTTCGGGAAGAGAAAACAGAGAAAGCAGGACCTGGTTCGTAAACTAAGGTAAAGCACAAAAGAGCCCTGAAGTCCGGAGGCAAGGCTCGCAGCCGAGACTCCACAACCTCAGAACGAGCACAATATGCAACATCACCGAGCGCTCAGTTGGTGACGTCTGAGTCTTAAGGTCGGTCAAAAATGGGGTGTCTACAGTCTTACACTTGAGTGGTAAGCCTTAGTATATAATCTGTCACCCGTCGTTTCAGACTCAGTTTTTTCTCTCTTTTTGCGATTCTCTCTCTCTCTCTCTCTCTCTCTCTCTCTCTCTCTCTCCTAGGGCTTCGATTGCGACTCGCTTAGGCTTTGGTTTGGTCATCCCTCTTTTTTTTTTCCTCATCTAATTCATCTCTGGTAAGTTTCTCACCCCAATTTTTTTTTGTTATTTCCTTTGCTCTTTCTCTCTCTCTTTCGGTCTGTGTTAGGGTTTCTTTGTTTCTTTGTGCTTTGATTTGTTTTGTGTGCTTTGTCTGTGGTTTGTTCACTTGTTTCCATGTTTACATAGTGGGTTTTTTAACTTGGCAATGTCATTCTATGCTACATCGGTGAGATTGGGCATGTTTTTGATCCTTGATAAGCTTGTTTACATACTTGTCTCTTTGCCAAGTTTTTTCTGCCAATTGTGTGCTCATTTGCTGCTACTGAGTTATTGTGATTATTTTTCCTTCCTCATGAATTATGCTCTGATAGGTTATGCATTTTGAAATTTTGTTATTTCCTTTGCTCTTTCTCTCTCTCTTTCGGTCTGTGTTAGGGTTTCTTTGTTTCTTTGTGCTTTGTCTGTGGTTTGTTCACTTGTTTCCATGTTTACACAGTAGGTTTTTTAACTTGGCAATGTCATTCTATGCTACATCGGTGAGATTGGGCATGTTTTTGATCCTTGATAAGCTTGTTTACATACTTGTCTCTTTGTCAAGTTTTTTCTGCCAATTGTGTGCTCATTTGCTGCTACTGAGTTATTGTGATTATTTTTCCTTCCTCATGAATTATGCTCTGATAGGTTATGCATTTTGAAATTTGGTTCTATAGCTCTGGGTATTGCTATTATTTCATTGCATTTTGTCTAATTGAATTATGTCACTAATGGTTTTCTGTTCTTATTGTGATTTTTTGGTTTGTTTGTTTTTTTTTTTTTTTTGGGAAGGGGGGATGTTGTTGGTTTGGGTGTGGTTGGTTTAGCCATGTCAACCTCTAAACGCCGGAAGTCCACCGCTACCTGTCCACAGTTTAACTCAGACAAGTTTCCTTCTGTTTTCAAAGCCAAAAACTATAGGGAAGCCTTCCTATCCCAAACAGTTCATCTTGAGCGTAATGTGCATTCAAACACCTTTGAGTCTATCTCGATTAGGTCTTGTTTCATCCCCTAGGAGGTGACCTAGTCCTTTCCTTTTTCGTGTGTCAAAAATTAGATTAGGTAAGGGAATTTTATTGCAACATCGAAGGTGTTGATGACATAGGGCAGTTTTTTAAAACTTGGGTTCGGTCTAAAGAAATTTTTGTTGACCAGGACCTTATCCGCTCTCTCCTCGGCGTTGGTTCAGTTCTTCATTCTAGGTATCCCTTCTTTGTTCGTCTTGATTGTGACTTCAGCGAGGTGGCCATTGCATTGTGTGGTACACCTCGCACCTAGATTCAAGGGGCTCTCATCAAGCAGAATGAGCTCCTTCCTAAGTTTAGGTTGCTCAATCTCATAGTGTGTGCCAATCTCATTGTCACCACTTATAGCTCTGAAATTAACCAAGAGCAAGGTTATGCCTTATATTGCATTGATCACCAATTATCCATTAACTTTGCCACCCTTATCCTTTGCAAAATGATTGTCGTTATTGGGAACAAACAGTTAGGGTTGCCCTATGGTTGTTTGATCAACCGTCTTCTGTTTAGACTTGAGGTCCCGATTTATGAGGATGATGAGTATACCACTCCTATTAAACCTTTCACTAAGAAAACCGTGTCTCAAAGTTGTGCGCATGTTAAGGAAGAGTCATCTAGGGCAGGTCTTTCTTCTATAGGTGATGATGATCTTATGGTAGAGGAGGCTGAGCTTGATGCTGCCACAGCAGGCGTAGAGGAGCCAGTTGTACCTCCCTGAATTATGCGTGACCAGCTTCGCCGCTTTGAGTAGTCCATGACTTAGCGGTTGGTTCACATGGATGCTCGTCTGGATGCTTTCGATGGTCGGCTTGGCCATATTGAACAATTCGCTGCACAGACCATTCTACAGCTAGATCAGATTATTTCTTTGCTTCAGTTGCAGCCGCCTCATCCCTCACCGGTTGATCCTTGATTGTGATCTTTCTTGGGCAGTGTTGCTTTTTGTTCCTATTTGTCTCCCGGACAAAAAAGGGGAGAAGATTTGGATACATTGTTTAATTTTTGGATACATTGTTTCATTTGGTTTAGAATTGCTACTTGTTTCATTTGGTTTAGAACTGCTACAGTTAGGTTTTGTTTCATTTTGTTTAGAACTGTTACAGTTGGATTTTTGAGTTTTCATATCTCCTATACATTGGTTGCTTTTTATTATCTTATTGAGTTCCACAGTTTTGGTTTTTGTAGTATGTTGATCATTGTTTCACAGGTGAATGGTTCTACATTGTTCAAATGTTTCTCAATCAAATTGGGCCTTTGTGGATTTTGTTTTGTGTCTGATAGGCCGGATCTTGTGTTTGTGTTTTTTAGTGTGTCTAGTGCGTATGTTTGCTAGGAAAAAATTGTTAGAAAAGTTTTGTTCGGGAATTGACAAAGGGGAAGATTGTTAGGTTCTACCTTGTTGCCAATTCCGTGAACAAACTTAGTTTAATAGAGTTGTAATTTTTCCTTGGTTTTTGCTTGTCCCACTCGAGCAGGCCAAGATGCGCTCGAGTGGAGTTTGGACCTTCTCAGTAGTTTGGCTTGTCTGTAAAACTACTGGGAGGCGTGTTTTTGCGCTTGAGCATTGTTTTGTTTTATCGCACGCGTTTTAGTGACTCCACTCGAGCGGCAAGTCCTGCTCTCGAGCGAGGTACGCGGCCCCTATTTTCTATATATATGTGTTTAAGTCCGTTTTTAGGTTTAATGCTTTTAGATTTGTTTTGGGGGCTCTAGGGTTTTCTTTTGGGGCTGTTTTTCTAGTTTTTCTTTGATGTTTGCTTGAGTATTAAACTCATATGGTTTGGTAATTCACATCAAAGGGTTGTTTGAGTGATCATCTTCAAGAGTATTCTTAATCAGTGGAACCCGGAGATTCAAGATTGGAGTGTTCGAAGGTGTTCGAAGTTGTGCGCGGTCGTTGAGTCGACGTTGATGTTGTGGAATCAACATCAATCTAATCAATTCTGAGACGAAGGTTGCGGTGAAAGATATACAAATCATTGAAGACAAATTGATAGAGTTTGGATAATTTGTTTGGGTATTTTGTATTCTTTCTTTCCTTCATGGTGGATTGATTTGTGGAGTTTCGCTCGTGGTTTTTTAATCACAATTGGAGGTACTCTAATAGTGATTTTTTTCATGTAAAAATCGTTTGTGTCTATTTATTGTTTCTGAAACAACAATCTAAATCATTTTCATACGTGCTTGATGATTTAGATTGTTAGTTTTAATTATTTAGAAATTAATACAATTAAATCTTGATCTAATCACGAATCACTTTGGATTTTTAGATAAGAAGCCCATTTTTAGACTACAAAGAAAAGATATGTTTTCTTCACTAAAGACTAAACAAAATCATGCCAAATCTAAAAGTTTTAAAAGGAATTATTATCTTTTGACTTAAACTTTTCTTTCTCTTTAGCCTCAGCTTTTGACTCTGTCACCCACCAATTCTTTCTTTTTGCCTCACCTGCAACATATTACTAAAAGGATGATAATAAAAATAATGACAAAAAAAAATAATGAAAACAAAAAATCAATAATCATGATATTAAGTTTTGTCAAGAAATGTATTGTCAAAACACAAATTATTAAATTTTTTAAGATAAAAATCCTAACAATCTCCCCCTTTGACAATGGCGGGACAACTTCATAAACCATTCTTGCACAAGATCTTTTGATTCAAACATTGATTTAAACAAATGAGACAAAAAATGAATAAACAGAAAATCATGATTTTGTCTTTAGAACGGGATTGCCAACTTGCATTACAATGCACAGAATTAGAATTGAAAATCCTAACATTTATAGTTATGGTTTTGGTTTGAAACCGAATTTGACCATCTAGATATATATACATATGTATAATTTGTTATTTATAATAATCACTCAATTACTTTATTAGTATCTCATATATTTTTAAGTTGTTAACTCTGTGCTCTTTTAAGTGTGTTTTTGTATAATGATAGAACTAATTATAAAAAATCATTTATTACTTGATGTTTGAGTAAGTTGTGATCGTGTTGTTAATGATGACAATATTTATAAAATCATGGTTTCAAACCAAATTAAATCGTATGGTGCTTTCCTAGTTTAATTTGGTTTGATTCTAAAATTTTTAGAGTTCAATTTAGTTCTAAATTTTATAGAACCGTACATAGCGAAAATTGAAACTTTGAGCTTCCTTGTTTTTTCACATATGAAGGTCCATTTATCTCCTCGCACTCTCTTTGTACGATGGACTGAAAATTGTAGTTCCACCATGTTTAGTTTCGCTGAAGTAATAGCATATTTATGTTCATAAGTGTTTACAATGTTATGTTTGTGATATATATGATATTATAGTATATTAAGTGAAAGTTTATTTTGATAAATTTTGTAAAACTAAAAATATAATGTAATGATATCAATAATGATTAATTAAATAATACTACTATAAACTAAGGTCAAGTTTGGCAACACTAAAATAATCCATATTTTTATCTTTTTATCTTTTTTCTATCACATCACCTTTCTATTTTTTTGCACATCTTTTCGTAAAAAGACAAAAAGTACATTTATTTAGGTCATCCCAAACAATCCCTAAATTTCTGGCTGCGCCAACACATTCACAACTATAAATAACTGTTGGCTTTTAATTCTTAGCTAGAGAGTAATGAGTAAAGACCCATGTAGACATTCAAAAACAGAAGACATAACAAATTACATAACTCATAACCACAAACCTTAATCATATAAGATGCACTAGGACTTTATTTTGATCATAAAAAAAAAAAAAAATCTAAACGCACAAAATTTGATCAATGAATTAGATACAATGAACTATGTCTAATTTAATGATCGAATTTTGTGCTCGTAGAAAAACTAGGTCAGAAATGATTTCAGACACCACAGTAGGCTTTTGCAGAACATTCGGTCCACGATCCCACCTCAGTGTAATAGAAGCCAAGTAATCCATAATTATCAAATGGCTTAAATTGTAGAGGGTGCTGATCATCAACCAGTTCTTGAGGTACATGTATCATTTCCTTTTGGAATGCAAATAGTCCAAGTGAGTATCTTTCTTCTTTCCCACTCATGATCACTCTATGTTTTGGAGAATGTACTCTGTTGTTGCTCCAAGCCTATTCCAATAAAAGTCAATATCCAAATCCATGAATCTATGTTGGGAAAATAAAATAAGATTAACTATATATAAATAAAAATGTATACAGAAAATATGTCATAGAATTATGAGTTTATCACTTTAAAATAAAAAATTTATTAAAACATTTTTTAATATAAAAATGTTATTGACATGTAATTCTTGTAATGATACTGTATAAGAATTTCAAAAAATGACATTTTTCATAAGAGAAATCAAAATAAATTTGAAGTTATGACAAAAATTTTGGAAAATTATAAAAACTTAAGAAAGAGTGGGACAATTCTCTAATTTGGGAGCCCAAGATGGTCTTAATGGCTTGGGCCGACTCTTAGAAAGTGAAACTTCAAAGAAAAAGACTTATTAGTATGAGTATATGGATCAAGTATAAGTAGTTTAAAGAGATATGAGACAAATTCCTAACACTCGTCACCTATGTAGCCCAATTGCATGTGAAGGTGATAGCAAAATAAAAGATGAAAAAATTAGGAGTGTGTTTGGTTTGTGTTTGTAAAGTAGTTTTTGAGATAGAAAGTACGAATACTTGTTTGGTTTGCCTGGAAAATTGTTTTGGGAAGAGAGTTTTAAAAAAAGTGATTGATTTGATATGTATGAGAGAGAGAGAGTGATTTTGGAAAGTAGGTAACCAAACAAAATTTTGAATTTTTTTTTGAAAAAATTTGTTTGATTTGATTACTCTTGAAAATTTGTTTGTAGAGAATTTTTCCCAAAATTTTTTCTGAAAAACAAACCAAACAAGGCCTAGATTTCTGATACCATGGTAGAATTATTAGAAACATTCAAACCAAAACCAATTGATCATGATCATGGGTGGAAGGGCCTCTAGCAAAATAAATAAATAAAAATAAAGTAGATGCTAAATTTTAAATTTTTGTGTTCTTTTCGTCTCATTTTCTTTTCTTTTCCCTCTGCAAATCTATGAAAAGATGAAGAAAAAGAAAAGAATAACCCACCAAAAGAGCATCCCCAGCCAAAACCACAAAAGATGAAGGTGAGGGATCAAAACTAATCCAATGGCCATCTTTGGTTTTCAACTCAAGACCATTCACTTGATTTTGATGAAGTATTGTCATGAAGGTCTTGTCTGTATGTTCTCCCGCTCCAACATTGGTCTCGTCCTCCATTTTTGGACCTCTGTATTTCATGATTCTAAGAAGGTAATTGGTTGACTCCATGAATGAATCATAGTATTTCTCTACTCCATAGCTTTCAAATACCATTCTCTTCACCATCTTCTCTAATTCTGATACCAACACTGAATAAGACTGCATGGTTTTACTGACCAACCAAGAGAGAGAAAGGGGTTAAGTGATATGAATAAATAATAATTTGGGAACATAGTTAAAAGTCAAATTTTGGCTTTTTAACTTATTTTGAATAATTCACCCAAAAAAAAACTTATTTTGAATTAAATCACCTCTCTACTTTTTTACACGTTTTTTCAATGAAAGTCAAAAAAAAAAAAAAAATTTAAAAAGCCAACTTTTAACCAATCCATGAATTTTTCACTAAAAAATAAATAAAAAAAAATAAAAATGCATAGAATAAATGAGAATGAGCAATTCAATAAGATTTGTTAGTGCGGTTTACTTTTAAACTAGTTCATTTTTATTATGTGTTTGATTTTGTATTCTTAAATTTATTTTATTTTTGTATTCTATTTCTATGTACGTAGCATTTTTGATAGTGATATGAATCATAATGCTACAAACATAAAAAATTTCATTGAAAAATGGATAGAATGCAGTGGTGGATCCTGGACGAATGCACTGTTGTCGGCACTACATTATTTTCTGTGACTTTTAAAAAAAAATATGTCCTCTTATATGAATTAGCTAACTAATTATTAGAAAGCAAAAATATTATGTACCCTGTAGAGTATGGTGTAGATTTAAATTTGGTGTGGTGCAAGTCACATCCAAAATAAATTTGATCAACACATTTCGTTTTCAGAGTATCTTTCATAATACTAATTCTTAAGAAAAAATCAAGTTAATTGTGCAAATAATTTCCAAAATATATATTTTGTTAACCGTTCCTTCAAAATTTCCCAAAAAATTATGAGGGAAACAACTTTAGTCAACTCACAAGAGAATTTCTGTATCTTCTAGTGCTGATTCTAATTAGTTTGGCTTTGACACTTTCATTTGAGAAAATCGATAATACATTTGTTTTTAAAATATGCGATATGTCACACGACAGTTCCTAACATCAGCAAGAGTATTTGGTAAAATTTCAAAAATATCTCTCTTTTCGTTACTAATTTTGAACGATATTAATGCTAGGACTAAAGTGTAACAGACCAAATATTTAGAGATCAAAATGAAACAACTAAAAATTGAGAAATAAGTGTAACATAGCATATACTTTTAGTGTAATTAATTCAGAAAAATTATTTGTAAAAAAGTAGATAAAGTTTTATACCAGAAATGGTCATTTCCATTAGGCCACATAAGATTTGTGAAACTTTGAGCTCCTTCAAGAGTGGGTGCATCATCAATGCCAAAGCCTTCATAGAGAGGAATGATAGGCTCATCCCCAATATACCCAAAGTAAGGCTTATGAGAAGTGTTCTTCACTTTGATCTCTTTTGGGAGATCAAACAACTCTCCCAATGACCCAAACACCTCGTTGTAAAGCTCCATTGAAACCCTATCATACACTGCCACAAAGCATCCATACTCTTCTAGGGCACACTTGACTTCATTGCTTGTTTCAATCCAAGAACTTGTGCCATGTTTCAAGTTTTCTTTGGTGAAATCTATTTTTGGAATCTTGGGCTTTGTTTGGGACACCATGATATCTTAATTGCTTCTCTTTTTTTTTTTCTTTTCACTATGAGAAAGTTTTGGTGCTTCTAATTACTTCTACTTCTAAATGCTTGCCTTTATAGAGTTGTAAGTGCATGTTAACAAAAGAAAATTGGAATATTTTATGACGGCACAATCAAAGATTGTTAAGTGTAAATACGTCATTGACTACGTATTTTTGCAGTCTTTGATGGGAGTCTGTAGTTACATCCACTAAGGGTTCGTTTAGAAATAGGTTATTTTATTTTAGTAAGTTTTTTAATTTTTTACGAAAATATATACACAGATAAATATAGAGAAGTGATTTGACAATTTTTAGTGACTTTTTGACTAAAATATATAGTTCACAAACGAAACTTAAATTTCTATATGGGATTAGATTCTAATGTTTAGGTTTGCTAGGCTCATTTTGGGGCCGACCTTAGTGACCGTTTTTTTTTTTTAAGATTCGTTGAGTAGAATATTCATGAAAAAAAAAAAGATGATTGAATGTCGATTGTTTATGTTTGAATTACATTTGTTTTTAAAAATGAACGATAATTATAATACTAATGCTTCAGGCCTTGAGAGCTTCGGGCACGAATGACGCGAATTTGTTGTCACTGGTCGACTGGCCGGACGATCACCTGGATAGCCGGACGACCACCCGGATGACCAGGTGAAGCACTTGTCTACCGTAGTTGTTACCTTGTCAACCGCGGCTGTCAGCCTCTTTACCGGATGACCGGCCAGACGACCGATTAAACAAATTCGAGGAAAATTCGTGCCTCAATATTCGAGGCCTGTAGCATGACTCTAATTATAATTTCAAATGTAACCATTCATTTTTTATAATACAAATGTGATTCAAATATATAACTATTGATGTCTGATAATCTTAATTTTTTGCATTAATATTCAACGTAATGAGTATTAAAAAGTGAACGATTCAGATCACTAAGGTTAGCCTAAAAATGGGTCTACCAAATCCAAACACTCTCTCAAATTAAAATGACCAATTCAAGAGAATCTACACCCTTTGGGGGTGTTTGTTTGGTGAGATTAGGACATGGGATTGGACAACATAATGGATAGTTCAATATTTGATTGGAAAAGTGAAGGCCAGACTAATAAACAAAAATAAAAATTTACGGGAGATGCGGGACATAAATGGATGTACTAAGTCAACTTTTAGATTAACTAATTAAATGACGAAATTGACTCTCAAATATATAAAAAAATTTCTTTCATTTTTTAAACATGTGTAAATTAATCTTATGATATATAATTGTCTTCTCTTACTTTTTTTTTTCTTTTTCTTTTTGTATTAGCAAAATCAAAAATGAAAATATACGTATTTAAATAAAATTAAAATGGTCTTTGTAAAATAAAATAAAATAAAATATGCTTCACATTTGGTATTGCCATTGTAAACAATTTAAAAGGACAAAATGGTCTTTTGATAAATTATTGTTCTTCATAATTTCAAATTAAACGTGAGATTCACTAAAATAGTCATTTTTAAATGTATAATTTTATGATAAAACAAACATGTGATACACATCATTTCCAGTCTAATAGTCCAGAACTATATATCTTAGGACTATCAGTTTGTTGCATTACTGTTATCCCAGGTAGGCAACCTAAGAGGGGGTGAATTGGGTTTCTAAATAAATTGCCAAAATAAAAATTAATCCAAATACATAAATAAATATGCTCAATAATATAAAATAGAGTAATGAAATAAAATGAGCAAAGGGAAGAGAAATCAAATACAATGATTTATAATTGTTTGGCACGCCGAGCCTACGTCCACTCCCCAAGTATCCTCCTTGGGAATTTCTCCACTATTTTTCAAATAGTAATTACACCATTAGCTTCACGAGTGCTAGCGAAGCTTTACAAGTGACCAATCTTGATCACTCCGACTAGTTTAGAATCCGGTGCCTAGTTACACCTAACTAAGTAATTTTATCTAAAAAATCACTCATAAAAATATCTCAACTAGTTTTGAATCCGGTGCCTAGTCACACCCAACTCAAGTGATTTTATCTCAAAAAATCACCCACAAAAACACTCTCTTTTTTACAATAATAATATGAATAAGGGATAGAAAATCCTTTTACAATTTTTTTCAAACTCTCAACAAATTTTCTTACAGAAAATATAACTCAATAAAACATAATACAATATTTGAGAATATTTCAATATAACAGATTTTTCCTTGCTTTACTTATTCTTTTTCTCACACCAAAACACTTCTATATACAAGAAAATATATCAGTTGAACATATATCCGTTGGAGGACGACGCTCCCACTGATTGCAGCTTCGGGCACGCGAGACATCTCTTTCCTCATCTTCAAAAATGGTAGGTAGATGTTTGAAATTAATGATCAAGGGTCGCTTTCAATAAATAATAATTTTTAATTTTTCCTTCAAAACCTTACGAATTTCAAAAGTTACACAGTAACTTGAATAGTAACTTCTTTATTAAAAAATATATGATGCACAGTAAATTTATTTAAATAATATTTATAACACATACATTATACAACATGTATTTTAGTAGATAATATTTTGTGTCAAAGAATGTAAAATATGTATATTAAAAAAGCATAAAAAATTAAACCACATGATTAACAATCTTTCTCTTTTTGATTACGGCAATACATGCATGAATTTGACACAAAATTTCATATGAATAAATCCACCATGTAAATATTCAACAATCATCATACATGAATTTTTTTTCATTATATTTTCTCTCCCATTATTAACAAATTCTTTGTCAAATAATTTATATATAAATCAAATTTCTTCTCCCCTATTGACATCACCAAAATAAAAGGTTACTACGGGTTTGGATAGAGAATGAAAATTTTTAGTGTCCCAAATGAAAATCATGTAAAACATTTGATCAACGATTTAGAAATATAGCAAATAATTTGAGTTGACAAAAGAAAATGTAATAATATATATATATTTATTTATTTCTTCCTAGTGATCAATGTCGAGATTCGCCCCCAAAAAAAAAAAATCGTGCAACGGCGCCTAAAGATATTGACTATCAAATGATTTGAGCAGATATGCATCGATTATAGTATCAAAGATGTGTATAAAATGACATAGATGATGTGCAGAGATACAAAACCTTCAAGTGTTCTTAGAAAAAATTTATTAACAATCTGTGTAATCATGTCATTCCTTACATTGGCCATTAATGGTGCTGACTTGAACGAGGTGCTTGAGATTAAGACAAATGAAAGGTTACCCACAGTGAATACACACGCTATTCCAGTAGTTGAGAGTCCTAGTGTGTGATGTCTTGGGTCTTGGACTTGGCAGATATTGAGTAGCAAGATAGTGTGCATTACTTTCGGCGTTTTGTTTATCGTATTGGGTTATTGAGATTTCTTTTCTACTCTTACTTAACATCTCTTTACATTTTCGGGTTAAAATTTTGAGTTTTGGGCGTTGGACTTGTTTTGGGATACGAAATCAAATTCTGGGTTTTCTAGGCAAAACCGCTTGTGCGGATTTGGGTTCCGCTCGAGTGGATTTTTTGTGAAAATTCTGAGATTTCTCTAGAGGAATCTGCCCGTGAAACATCAGAATCTGTTCGTGCGGAAGTCAAACTACTCGTGCTGATTTCGGCGTGTTTGTCTCGAATTTTGAGCTCTTTTACTCAAATTGATGCCAAAAACATGTTTGAGACACTTTTTCACTTCTCTCTCTCTCTCTACTCATCTTTTCTCTTCATTCTCTCTATAAATACACTCAAATCCAAACTTTTCTATAAGATTTAGCTAAAATCTTCAAGAATTTGAGAGGGTTTTTTTACACCAAATCGAAGAGGGTGTAGACACCCTATTTTTAACTGCCCTAAAGACTTGGGGGCGAGGACGAAGGCAGGATGAAGGCTATGTTGTGCAAAGGTTCGATTTCTTCGGCAAGGAGAGCGTCAAATCCCAACCTCACACCCCATTTTTTGACCAAAGCCTTTTGAGTAAAATGATTTTTAGACCTTAAAACCCTATCTTTCAAAATATTTTTGAAAAAAAAATTTCTACGATGTTCCGAGAGTCACATTTCGTTAATTTTGTGCTTTTCGGTAAACCGAGCAAGGACATAGTGGAAATAAATGAAAGAGATGTGAACTCTTCAAAAAATCTTTCAAAACACCTTATTTAGGGGTTTGGAGTTGAAGAAAAGAGAAGAGGAGAGAAGAAAACTAGTTTGGGAGAAGTTAGGCATGAATCCGGTTAGGACCGAAACTGAGCAGTCTTCACTAAAAGAGGCATATCTTTTTGCACACTTGAAATTTTGATGTGAGACTGCCACCATTGGAAATAAGACTTCCGGGGCATCAATTTAGACACAAGAATGACTTGCAAAGAAGTCCAGATGAAAGAGATGTGCCTATTTGAAGTCGGGGTCAGAAACCAGTTTTCGCTTGTCAGCCACCAGTGAAGCTTGTTGGCCATGTGTCGTCCAAAAGTGCATTTTTTCAACCACCAGTGATGGACGACGTCCACTGGCGATGACCGTCGGCCACCAATGATAGCCGGTCGGCCACAGGTGTCCAGAAGCCTAGATTTTGCAGATATTTTCCTCCAACTGTTTCACACTGCTCCAGTTGTCTCTAATTTAGATATTTTCGACCAAGACTCTTGTATTTCTATATATAGAGGCCATTCTCTATTGTTTTCAAGGTTGAAGAAATTTTGGGAGCCTCTTTCTCTACAATTCTCTTTCTCTCTTGCCCTTTTGTACATACAAGTAGAGATACACTTCTCCTTTGCCTAGACATCCTTGATCAAAGTTGGTTATCTTTGAGCTGAGATTCTAAGAGGTCTTCTTGGAGCTTTTGAAAGTGATTTTGCTTGCTTTTTCCGCCTAAAATTGTGTTGTTCTTCAAGAGGTATATGACTCACCTTTTAAACTTGTTTTGCATAACTTGTTTTACCATCTTTTTGCACTGTTTTTGGCCTGATTTTCAATTGCAAAAACCTCTATTTTATGACCTAAAAATGGTGGTTTGAGGTTATTTTGTGTTAAGGGGTAGTCCAC